GACAGACTAGGTGCTTTGATTAATTTTTTTAGATAATTTCTCATGTGATCTTATATATTTTTTCTTTTCAGAAAGTTGGCTCCCTGTGCTGCATCAGGAAAATTTTCTCTCCGGAGTCGACCCTTCAGATCTACAAATTAACCATTCGCCCTTCCATGGAGTATTGCTGCCATATATGGTCTAGAGTCACTTCTGTTTGTCCCAAGCTCCTTGATATAATCCAGAGACGAATATGCAATGTGACGAATTGGCCCTGATCTGGCATCTCGTCTGCAGTCGCTCTCTCACAGACGTGCCGTCATATCCCTCTCTCTTTTTTTACAAATACTTTCACGGTAACTGCTCCGATGAGCTGCACTCACTGGTTCCCAGACTTCATGAATTTAAGCGTTCAACTAGGCTGGCATCTCGCTCTCACCCTTTCACTGTCGAAACTGTTAAATGTTGCCGTCTCTTCTGCTCCAATAGCTTCATATCTCGCACCTCTCGCCTGTGAAACTCCCTTCTCTATTCCAGTTTCCCTGAGAGCTATAATCTCCAACTATTCAAATGTAATGTCAATCGACGTCCCCAGATGCCTTGATCTATCCGCTATCCTTCTCTTCATCCTTTCCTCTATCACTCCTCTTTGCTCTCGCTCCAAATCTCTGTAACCCCTTTCGTGCTAGTGGCTTCCGGCCTTGCTCAGAGTGAAACGCTTAAAATTGATGACAGCCTGTTTCATGATTGAACACAATCTTCAGGTCTTTACCTATACATAATTTTCTTACATCGTGGTCTTTCCTGGGAGTATAAAAGCTCTCATTTTCGCATTACAGCTACCGCGTGGGTGCTTTCCCCACTCCAGGTGAGACTGGTTGGCTTGTGAAAGGTTCGCGAACACTGTCCATTTTTTGTCCATTTTGGTCTGCCCCAGTGGTATAAAAGCTCCCATTTTCGCATTACGGCTCCCGACAGTCTGACGACTGCTTAAACTTATAGTAGTATTTAGACTGAATACACATGAAAGTTGATTCTTCGTTTAGAAAAGCACGACCGTATTTTATGGTGTTGAGCTAATTTCTTTCTGGTGAGCATACATGCCAGACTCTTTTATAGGGCTGCTTATATACATACATACATACACACACACACACATATATATATATATATATATATATATATATATATATCAGGTATATATAGCTACCACCGCTTTTATTTCTTGAGAAAGATGATTGTCTGATTTGTATAGACATTACGAATTAACGTAACCATCTGTATCAGTTTTAATCTAATGTCTGCGATCTGTTGGTTGACACCTTGCTGTCATGAAGTTTTCTTCTTCGCTTAGTTTGAATTCAACGTAGGTTATTTTCGGTTGGTTGATCAAGGTAAAGTCCTCAAGCCTATATTTTCCCGAAAAGAGAGGGGCTATTTTGCTGTTGAAATTAAATTAATCGTTCGCTCGCCAGTAATTTACAATCGTCAAAGGAGACGCATTGATGCACATCGAAACACGATGGCAATCGTGTAGCGATTTTTAATATGTTTTGATATATCCTAAAATAAATCACACACACACACACACACACATATATATATATATATATATATATATATATATATATATATATATATATTGTGCAGCTTATATTTTATATGATAAAGAAACATTTTAAAATTAACTTATATAAATTCCTTGAATAATAAGATCCTTATATTCGAGTTGTTGTCAAATGGAAGACACTTGACAAGTACTTATGACAATTTCAAGATCGAAAGATGATTTTTTTTTAATTATGCTATTTATTGACAGTTAAATATATATTTTGGAGCAGTATCAAATTAATGTCTCCTTATGTCTTGATTTCGCCATTAATCACATTAATATTGTTCTTTAATCTGCATAAATTTTTTCTTAATGATATACATAGATATCTAATATATATATATATATATATATATATATATATATATATATATATATATATATATATATAGATAGATAGATAGATAGATAGATAGATAGATAGATAGATAGATAGATGTGATGACGTTATGCGATGTGATGTGATGACGGGCGGGTCGCTGCGCGAGGAAGTCTATCACACTGGCATTTAAGTGGATTCTCCGGCCATCCACCAGAAAACCGATGGTAAATGCTCAATCATTTATACTCAATCTCAACTTAGGCAGCACTATGTGATCTGTCATCTGATCTAATAACATGAATCAGTTAAGATAATTGGAGTCTACCTCAGCTACACAAATTCGGGTAGTCTGATGATGAGACACTGATGGGGTCGTTAGTCCCCGAATTATGTCATTATAGTATGACCTCTGCTCATGTTTGCCGTACTGCGTGTTTCCGGACGGTCAACGATCTTAATTCTGACCAGGTTCAATGTTGCTTAACGTCGTTGATCGATCGTGAATCGGTGCCTTCAGAATGATATGACCGTGGGCACATATATGCGTGACCCGATTTGCAGATGCAGTACTTTATATACGTTCTCCACGTTGACACATTAGTCAAGTGGTTGGTTCAATATAGCGGGGGAGGGCAGTGTACACCGATCCCGCCACTTTGATGCGATGTTAGAGATGCTGTCGCAAAGTTGGGATCTCTGGAAATCAAACTGACCTCATCTAGGCCACGAACTGCCCCCACAAACACACGCTGCTGATGTTCTTCCCGTTAGCATGAGAACACGGCAGGAGAAACGAACAGATACTACACTCTGATTCCAGACAGGGCGTACAGGTGGTGCTATCGCTTAGACTTGTGTCAGAACGACTGGCCCTGATTTTATAACTGATAGCTCGGCACATTTTTAATATCGAATAATCGCCTACGCATGTCTAACTCCGTGTGAAGGCGTTGGTTTTTGAACTGCGGATAAGATACGGTTTACTGATACAACTATAGTGTCTGCTGTCTGCTTGCAGACGACCAATGTGTGTGCACATTGTGAAAGGAATTAGTATTCTTCTACGCGATGGCGTGATTTTCTTGCTCTTAGAAAACGTGACGCTGATATGTTTGTGCATCAGCATAAACAAGTAATAAGTGCTTCTTTAAGTTTCGAAGCGTGCAAGGTGGATGTTTCTCCGTGAACATTTTACTTCCCATTGCCTAAGTCCCAGCTTTAAATATCACTCAGCGTTATGTGTAGAGAAGCTGAATTAAGAATATATATCTTCTATTTACAAGCAGCGGGTAGTTTTGACACAAGGACCTAATTAATGAATGTCCATGAGTATTGAACTCGCTTACTGTTATGGTCCAGGTTAGGGCCAAGGAAGAACAATACGAACACAAGTGTAGAAATAACGAAGGTATATTACACGAAATAATAATATAAGATGTGTAAGGTGTTAGTATGACTGTCAGTCTGGTTTGGAATGAACTACTATCGGCTCGACTAGATTCGGTATCTAGCCACCCTCCCCACGAGGGTTGCATGTGGCACAAGTCCGAGTTTAACGTGGGTTTCCCGGGCCCGTAGGCTCGGCCAAAAAAAGCCCGTAGAACCCGTATAAACGGGATCTGGTTGGTCAACCTCCCCGAACGAGAGTCTGCCCTTCGGCGGAGCCTCGTGCGGGTTCCTCTCCGCTCAGAGGCAGAGAGTTCGACCGTAAAGCCGAGAAGCTTGGCTCGATTCGGTATCTAGCCACCCCGTCACGAGGGTTGCATGTGGCACAAGGCCGAGTTTAACGTGGGTTTCCCGAGCCCGTAAGCTCGGCCAAAAGATGCCCGTAGAACCCGTATAAACGGGATCGGGTTGGTCAACCTCCCCGAACGCGACTCTGCCCTTCGGCGGAGCCTCGTCCGGTTTCCTCTCTGCCCAGAGGCAGAGAGTTCGACCGTCAAGCCGAGAAGCTCGGCTCGATTCGACCCTCTCTCTTGAGACGCGTAGTATACATAGTGTTAGGAAGAGTTCATTCTGTAGTTATAGGTAAGGACCCATGACACTTACCCAATAATAAAAACCCGTGACCCTACCTCGTGCACAACTGCACTCCTATTTGAAAACCAGATCTGTCTCTTCTGTCTTCAGTGTTTGTAGTGTTCAGAAAGAAAAAGACTGGCAACCAACAAGATACATGTGCAACACATTTCTTTTCAACAGAAACGAAGAAGATGATTGATGAATTCTATCGTGATGATTTCGCTGGAAGAAAATTGCCCGCCTTATCAGTATTCTGCGAAGTTAACAATGATGAATTTGGATTGGGGTACCAAGTCAAACAAGGATATAGACCAGAACGTATTCGAAGTGATGACTTGCAAGCTCTTTTGAATGGTTTCCTGCAACTAAGAACCGATTAGCGCCCAAACTCGTCAGCAAAAAATAAAAGAAAAAATATTTGCAGAATCGAAGATGAGTGATGAAGACCATGGCGATGATTTGGCTGGAAGTAAGTATCCTGCGTTGTCAGTGTTTTACGAAGTTAAAAATTATGAATTTAACTTGGAGGACAAAACCAATCAAGGTATTTGAAGATATTTTATCTTGTCAGTGAAATTTAAAAAAAAAAAGAAAAGAAAAGAAACGTCTTGCTTTCTTTTTTTTTTTTCAAAAGACGCCATATTAGCCAAACTGAGAATTCGGGCACGAGTGCCCTGTGTAATATGCATGCGTGAGCGAATCACTTGCTTGTGTAAATCTCTTCATTTAATAAAATGAACGGCATCAATGCAGCCAAGTGGGAGAAAATCAGCTTCAAACAGTGAAATTACATCAGTCGGGGACACAAGCAAGTAGAGATTAAAAGTTGCTGACCGTCATTACATGCCATATAATCCTACTAAACCAATATTAGAGTTGGCTGAAAAAAAGAAGTAATGGCCATTCATTGGTAGTAAAACAACTGTAATGTCACAAGAAAATGCAAAAGACAGGAAAACCACTGGTTGATTGGTTATGTTTTACGGTATATCAACCTCTACGGGTTATTTAATACCAAAATCTAAATATTTTGTATGCAAATTTACGTTTTTCGTTGAAAAAACTGTTTCTCTATGATCACCGAAGTTAAGCAACGTCGAGCCTGGGCAGTACAAAGATGGGTGACCGTTTGGGAATACCACGTGCTGTAAGCTTAGATATGTGGGTTGTGTAATGTATAATCTCTCAAAATTGTTAATCGGAGAGCCGTGTTCCAATTCCAGTTAGGTTCGTTATATTCACTTACACGCAAATATCATTGGGAAAGCCATGGACATTGCTCTTCTCCTCCAAACCATGGGTTAATTAATAAGACCTGTATTACTAAATCATTATTATCTCCAAAAATAAAATGCTTAAAATCTAAAAATATTTTCTTACTTTAAATAACTAACAATGGGTTGATAACCCATAAAAACAAATCAATCAATCGTCTCTTGAGAGATGTTACAGCCGCAAACGACAAAACACATCTTTTAACACATTTGAGTAACTAAGTGTTATACAGGAACATACCTATTCTATTGTTAATAGACTCTTCCACATATTATAAGTAGTAGTAGTAGCAGTCGCGAGGGGGCTCAGTGAGTTGAATGAGTCATTCGATGTCGGACATTAAGGTATCAACCATCACAACTAGATTGGTGCGTCATTAACTATTATTTTCAAGTTCCTAACGTTTTGTACGTCGAACCTAATTTAGGACCGACTTAGTGAAATACAAGGCTCCACTGTAAAACTACTCTACAACACTAAGTAAATACTAAGACCTCGATTGAGAAATCAGTAGAATGTCTCAAGTCAAAATACTAACATTAACGTGTTTGCTCTGGTCGCAGCAGAGGTGAGCTAAAAGTTGGAAAGTTGAGTTACTCAAGAGAAATAACAGAAACTGAGACTTCCAGAAAAGGCATGGTACGTGGAACTAGAACAATCCAACTCAGTGGACTAACTAAAGGGTTCGTTTCGAAATTCCAGCGTATATCCCCTGAAGACATGCCGGGGCTTTGTGAATGATATCAAAAGGAGCAAAGAGTTATGTGGATTACATTCATAGCGGTTCTGAAATATATTTGAATTGGAAGAAATCCTACGCATGGATTCTTCTCACATCTTTCCACAGATATCTCTCCATGCACTGACCAGAAATACATAATTTGTATGGCAACTCATCAGTTTGCATTTTCTGATATGACATAATAATGTCGTTTCTGGACGTATTTTTTAACGTCAAAAATGACATCATTACGTCATTATTTTTGCACCAACCTAATACAATATAAATTGTTGTTTCTTGAATGCTCTGGTTCAGACTTGCTGGTCACTCGTACTGCACAGAGTAAAAACAAAACACCATCAACACCAACATAATCACAACAACAACAACAACAACAATAATAATAATAATAATAATAATAATAAGAAGAAGAAGAAGAAGAAGAAATATCCCTCTGTCTATATTTCTGAGATGAGATATTGTAACTATTTACACTATTTGCCTTGTGCGAACTACCGTTCGCATCTTTATTGCCATATTCACGACGGTTTGGACTTTTCTAATTGTATCAATATTTTCCGTATATTGGGTCTGTGCCGATCCTTCAATATCTGTCTATATTTCTAAGATGAGATACTGTAACAACTTGAATTGTGCGGACTATCGTCCTCATCTTTATTCTCATATTCACGATGTTTCAGCCGTTGCACGCTCCGGCCTTCTTCAGTTGATATACGTTGGAATATCGAACCGAACCCTTTGTTTAGTCCTCTGAGGTGGATTGTTCTAGTTTCACGTGCCACGCTTTTTCTGGAGTGACTTGAACCAAAGAATCGTAAGTTCATTACCTGGCCACAGCTAAAACTTGGAAAGTTGAGTTACTCAAGAGAAATAACAGAAACTGAGATGTCCAGAAAAGGCATGGTACGTGGAACTAGAACAATCTAACCCAGTGGACTAAATGAAGGGTTCGGTTCAAAATTCCAACGTATGTCACCTGAAGAAGACCGGAGTATACAATGACCGAAACATAATGTATATGACAATAAAGATAAGGACAACAGCCCCAACAATGTAAATAGTGTAAATAATAATACGTCCATTGCGTAATCTGTTAATATTCAAACATCAAAATCAAAGAGGAACATTAATTGTAACAGAAATCAATCAAGCCATTATTCTGTTGGACAGGTAAATTTAATCTGATGAAGAAATGAGGGCCAACACACCTGATAGAGACAAAAATAAAATAAAAAAAACTTGTCTGCCGATGAAACCGATCAATATGCCTGTCTCTACCAAATGAAACACAACCCTGGAAACTAAAAAAAAAAACCGCTTATTATAAAAATATAGCAATAGAAACTGATAGAATAAGGACCATGAAGACCCTAACAATACAAGTGGTAAAAAGTGCTGTCGGTCTGGTCAAGAAAATGAAGAAAAATATACCAACAAAATCCCTGGTAAAAAAAAAAACTAAATAAAATAAAGATGCAAGCAATTCAGAAGATCGTCTTCGTCGGCACTGGTCACATATTAAGGCGGATTCTCTCCATTGACCATCCTCACGTGGTAGCCCCAAGTCGGAAACATAGACAGAGTTTAATGAGTGAATGAAGTAGGGGATTCTGAAACAAAAATAGCTTTAAATAATGATAATTTAGGGGTTGGGGGTTACTTGAAGTAAAAAAGGCGACATGAACTTATGAAGGAAATTCAAAGAATAACTATAACGGATAAAATAGAAGCTGTAAAGGGGCCGATGACAAGAAAACGGTAAGTGAAGGAAATGACGAAGATTATTATTATTATTATTAATATTCGCTATTGTTACATTATCATTATCAGTAATAAAATTGCAACAATGTTGTTATGTCATTACCAATGACTGAAATAATATAGAGAAGAAAGTAGAAAAATTATTCAGGATTTAAAAAAGCATTCAAAACAGACTATAGCTAGAAAATAGGGACGGAAGGTGAAAGAGAGTCTGTTTATATTCTTAGAATAATAGAATGAATGAATGAATGAATGAATGAATGAATGAACAGGCATACAACACGAATAGAAAGAAAGAAAGAAAGAAAGAAAGAAAGAAAGAAAGAAAGAAAGAAAGAAAGAAAGAAGTGGGTGAGGAGGAACAAACGAAAAATATGTACAAAAAAAAAATAAGAATTAAGACAACATTAAAATTTACGTGGTAAAAAAAAAAAAAAAAAAGAAAGAAAGAAAGAAAGAAATTATTAATTTACGAACAAACGAAAAATATGTACAAAAAAAAAATAAGAATTAAGACAACATTATTAATTTACGTGGTAAAGAAAGAAAGAAAGAAAGAAAGAAAGAAAGAAAGAAAGAAAGAAAGAAAGAAAGAAAGGAGTGTGTAAGGAGGAACAAACGAAAAATATGTACAAAAAACAAATAAGTAAAACAACATTATTAATTTACGTGGTAAAGAAAGAAAGACAGAAAGAAAGAAAGAAAGAAAGAAAAAAGAATGGAAGGAAGGAAGAAAGAAAGAAATAATGAATTGTTGAATGAAAAACAAACGAATAAACGAATGAATTAACGAACAGGCATTCAAATGAATAGAAAGAAAGGAAAGAGTAAGTAAGGCGTTAAAAAGAGAAGTACAAAAATGAATAGGAAGTAGGAAAAAACATTGTTAATTTACGTCGTAAAAAAAGAAAGAAAATAAGAAAAATATCAACGAAAGAACGGATATAAAACGCTTGAATCATTTAACGAAAAGGCGAAAAAGGGAGTAAAAAGAAAGCAAAAAAAGAAAGAAGAAAGAAAGAAAGAAAGAAGAAGAAGAAGAAGAAGAAGAAGAAGAAATTAATGAATGAAGGAAGGAACGAAGGAGGGAGGGAAGGTGCGAACGAACGAAAGATAAAAAAAAATGATTAAGAAGTAGAAAAGAGAATTAAGTGGCGTAAGAAAGAGCCACAGAAGGGAAAAATGAAAGAACATTTAAAAAAAAAAATATAGTCATGGTTAGTTTCAGTCGAGAGCAAGTAGTGGCGAACAAGACCGAGGTGGTAGACCCCGATAAAGTTAATGCTCGACGTACGAGAAAGAAGGAATGCAGGCAAAGATGCCAAAGCAGATAATTGTGTACAACTAACTGCTTGGAATATCCCAGCTGCCGACTGTGTACTATTACTTCTACACATAACGCACGTTCCACTGGATTGTAGCTGTGTATTCGTTACTTGTTTCTCTGGTGAAGATTTCACATTGGTCACGATTTAATATCGCTATCAATGTTCGATTGTGGCGAAGAAAATAAGCGAATAGATTGGGCGGGAAGAAACGAACGCTTGGAATGAAACAAAGAAAAATTCAAGTGATATTTTCTGTCAGTTTAACTATTTATTCATATCTCTTTCTTCTCTCTCTCTCTCTCTCCCTCTCTTTCTCTCTCTCTCTCTCTCTATCTATCTATATCTATCTATCTCTATCTATCTATATATATATATATATATATATATATATATATATATATATATATGCCTAGGTATTTGTATGTAGCGCGATAGACGGGTGTTCTCTCAGGAGGTCCCGTGCTTTAAGTGCCTAACCCCAGACTTCAAGTGGAACTCGTATACACGATCCATTGCTAAAGATGATAGAGCGTTAAAAAAAAAGTAAATGGTGCAGCCTCCTCGATGCCAATCTACTAGCTAATCCCTATTACAGACACCTGCCCTGGCACAATTGTCTCTGTTCAACACCCACAGAGCTTACCTGTGTTTTATACTGCAACTATGATTTAGCGGACTTTAGTTACAATTTCGGGGAAAGAGCCAGTTATCTACCGTGATCAACAGTCTGGACAAGGCTAGCACGCACAAGCCTTCGGTCACGATGACTTGTAACTTCGTGCTAGAACAACTACCGATGGCTCCCAAGTGTTCTGTCTACCCAATTTCACTCACAAGGCTTGGTATGATTTTCAGGCACTTTCCAAAGTTGCCGCATCGATAACATCAAGGCTACATTCCATGGTGAGATTCGAACCCAGGTCTCATGGTCAGAAAACGAACGTTCTAACCACTTGGCCACATGTGAAATGGCCTATTTTTTGCACCTCACTCTTCTTGCTATCCTTTACTTTTATACGAACAAAATGAAGCTGAAAACGGCGACT